ACAGGGATTAGCCCAGGGCACTCTAACATACAGGAGTAAACTGGGAGAGCTTGACTTATTCACCCTAGCAGAAAAAAGGCTAAGGAAGAATGCAACTGTTCTCTATAAACACGAGTGAATTAAACACAAGGAGTGAGAAGGCATATTTAAACAAAAGAACAATATTGCCTTGAGCAAATAGGTGTGTGTGGCTTGGCTGTGATTAAAGTCTCTAACAAAAGGTTCTGGAATACTAATAGGAAAAAGAAACCTAAATACTCTTTAGATAGATTTCAATAAATTTATGGAGATGACTGTATGACATAGCTACCTATAAAAAGAAACAGAGCCCACGAGGTCCCTTTCGCAGCGTGTTCCTAGGCTTCCTGAAGAATATTGTTAATAACGTGCTGATTTTTGTTAAGCACATATTATGTGTGCCCGAAGAGCACTCACTTTGGGACTAAAAGCTTGCAAATGCAAGTCTTAAACACTCTGGTCTTGGACTAAATCAAGCAGACTCTCTCGTACAGAGAGGTACAATTCACAAAGGTATCCACCTTCAAAGATTTCAATCTAGGAACATGAAGCCGGGTCCCGTCCTTCACTAGAATACTTCTGCTTCCTCATCCCAGTGTCCTTTGTCTCTTCAATGTTCCTCTCCTAAGTCTCTGGTTTCTCGAATGAGTTACCAGCTTCTATGACACTTAATTCTTGCCCTCTTCCGTGTGTTTTCTACCTCCTGGTGTTTCACAGCCTGCCTAGGCAACCTTCCTGTGCTTCTCTGTGTCTCTTCCCAACCCAAAAATGTCCCCTCTTGGGTGGCACGATGAAATGCCTGGTGCTTTTACTCCATACGCTGCAGTGGAGGAGCCTGTCTCCTCACTGGGATTAGTGTTGGCAAACAGCAGTCGCACCCCAGCAGCTGTCCCAGCTCACAGTACAGTGCAGGCGGGTGCCCAGTTGCTGCCAGCCAGTACTGACCACCTACCACCTCTGCTCCTGCTCCCTTGTTGCTGCATCTTTTGCATCCGCCTGCAGCAGCCTTTCAGCCAGTCTCTCCTCTGCCCTGTAACTCCAAGACCTTTTCCTCCCCTCCCAGCACACACCCTCCCCTGAAGAGGGGCATCTAACCCAGGAGTCTCTGCTGTTGCCCCGGCTGTCTGAGCTGGCACGCATGACAACAACCTGTCCACCACACGGCACGAGCAGGCCACACAGATCCGTTCAACACACAGAGTGATGTACAAAACCAGCCCCTCTAGCTAAGCAAATTTCAGTTCCCACCACTTTGAAGTCCATTTCAATCCATATTGTGCCGCAGCATCTGCTTGCGACTCTCGACAGCGCTTGCACCCTCATCATAAGGGTACCGGACCACGGACCAGGCTAGAAAACTGCACGCAGGACCAGGCGAAGGCGCCTGGCTGGGTTCCTGCTGCTGTCTCTGAATGCTTTGCACCGCTGAGCTAAATACATCTTTTATCATTGTTCAACAGCGAGCGCAGGAGGATGCCCATGCTGGGTGGGGAAAAAAACCTTTCTCCTGTTTACAAAGAAAAAGGTTAGCTTGGAATCCTCTAATTGCATCTGGACATTAGTCAAGCGAAGGTGTGGTGAGCTAATTAAGATGATGGTGAGTGTTTTTCATTTCCTGTCTCTTTCTAACATACCTGTAATTGGATACCTTCTTTATTTGAGAGACATATTGAAAAATAACAAACTAACATAAACCTTTTTTGCTCTGCTGACTTTTTTGCTTATTTCCCTGCCCTCTCTGGTGGCATTGTGGGCACCAGTTTAACATGAAGTATGACCGCCATCTAACCCTAGCAGTCTCCTGTATGTGAGTTCAGTGGTATTGCTCTCAGTATTTTGGGGGGCAGAGCTGAAGGGGGGGCACCTGGGACACCCCAGGTAGGCCACAAAGCCCATTCCCCGTTGCAGGTTTCCAGACAGATTAGTCCCTAGGTGAATCATAAAAGCGATGGAGAAGTGACTAGCACTATGTAAGGAGAAGCTACAATGAAGTCGCAGTAACTATGGAAGTGCCTAACGCCTGAAAACAGAGAAACGCAGCAATAGAGAAGTAGCAGCAGTCAGGTTAAATTTGGCTTTGAATTTCTCCTTACTATGAGTCTGTTAGGGAGGGTGAGGGAAAAACACATACATGGAAACAAAATAAACTGCAACATCGGATTGTAGTTGTGTTTAAAAACATCTTGCAGCAAAAGCTCTTATTTTCTTCTCAAAGGTAACTTTTCCACTATAAAACGTCCTTACCGGAAGCAAAAATTTTGCAAGCCCAAACATTCAAGCAGATTGCTTGTTTGCTAAAGCTCTGAAGTTAAGTTCCCTTCAGGAAAACACTGGAATTATCTGGGCTCAGATATCAGGTGTGCTAAGGTTACACCTACCCCCTGCTGTGGCCACGCTGCAATGCCAGAACACTTTACCAATTTCAGCAAATTGTCTTTCAAGACAGCTGTAAAAAATGTTTGTACAGGCAGGGGGTTTCCCCCCCCCCCCCCCCCCCGCCGAAGCAGGGTCACCTACAGCAGGCTGCACAGGACCTTGTCCAGGCGGGTCTTGAATATCTCCAGAGAAGGAACTCCCCCCCCCCCCTTTTTTTTTTTAGTCCCCAGACCTTCCTGCTCCCTGGAATTCCTCTACTTCTTTAACAAGGGGTTTTGAGAGTCTAATTATCCGTCACAGAAACTTAACTGTTTATAACTCTGGAGCCGTGACTTGGCAGTGGTAGCAGCTGCACAAAGCTCTGCTCCGAGACGCCTCTCACAATGGCTATACCCACCTGTAAGCCAGGGTGTTAAGACAGTTCAGGAACTGCTGAGGGGCCCAGAGTCAACTACTTCGAAATGGTTTTCTAACACGAAGACAGCAAAAGTCTCTTAGACACACCCTTGAAACACTTGAGGAACTCTTGCTTACATACTGAAGCTGGTCAACCATGCTGCTTCCCAAGCTCTGGCTTTGTGGAATTCCAGCATTAGATAGGGGAAGTCAGAGGCAGCACCAGGTATACGGTCCCAAAAAATGCAAAACAGCTGGGAGCGGGAGCAGGGCAGAAGCCTTGTTGGGGCTGCCTTGAATCTAATAGCCCAGAAATGTAAGCATCTGCCCAGGAGTTTTGTTTTCAAGTCTATAAACTTTAACTCAAAGATGGGTCTCGATCACTAAGATGAAGTTCTCAATGCCATGCTATTCAGAGTTGCAGAATCGACGTCCGCTTGTCTGGCTTGTACCTTCTCTACTGTGTATTTCATCGCATAGTTATTCTACGCTCAGAAACCTACCAACAGAACAAACTCTGAAGGACCTGTGTCAGAACAGCCAATTGCTCTGATCATCTGCATGCTCCTTTAGAGGATGTTGGAGACTGGAATCAGAGCTTCACTTTAAAAAAGAAGTAGTGCTGGTGTGAGAACAGCTCCCTTCACCTACTCCTCCTCTAGCTGCTCGGCAAACGTGGAGTTTTTCCATTGGATTTCTCTTAACATCAGGGGAAGTTATACGAGAAAGACTGCCAAGTACAAGCAGGCATTTTCCTCTGGGCGGAGGAAGTCAGTCCAGAATTAATTTCCAAGGGAGAATGCAATTCTCTGCTTGTTCTCTTCTGTGAGTAACACTCCAAGGCTCCTCGTTACCCTCCAGGAATGCTGTCCACAGTCAGGATTTTATCTCAAACTCTGGGCAAAAGACACCGACCCTTACTTCTAGAAACCGCAAGTGGTAGGTCTGGGTTTGAGACATGACTGCAAATCAACGAGCAGGTATTCCAAGTAGATACCCAGGTATTCCAACTTGGATTATGGATAACCTCAAAGACCTCTGTTCAGCAAGCTGCTATAAGACAAGATGTACACAGTGACAATCTTAGATCATACCTAAATTATTGAACAAGACAATGGTGAAAAGTCTGCTGGGACCCCCACTTAATCACTGCCCACTAACAGAAATCATTGCCCACTAACAGAAAAAAGAGAAGACTGTTCTATGAAAAGAAGCCAGATAGCATCAGATTAAAAATAAGGTATAGATTGGGTTTAACTTAAAAATTTAATTTTACTTTTAAATTTTAATCATGTGTGTACCATTGTAATTGTGTGGGAAAGGTATTCGAAGATCTCACTTGGGGTGTGGAAAATTCACCAATTCATTTGTAATTTTTAGAAATAAGGTGGTTTTTTATATAGGTGACAGTATCATCCAAGACAAGATGTAATTCAGGAAAATTCTGTGTGTTACCGTATCAGACTAACCTCAGTTGTTTTCCCCACCCTACAGTTCCTACATTTGTGCAAGCTGTAAACTACGACGGAAAGCATATCTGATGTAATAATAAATCTACCAACATAACCTTCATACTTTTTTAACTTTCAAAAAATGGAAACTACAACATTCACAACAGGATATCAGTTGTTTAGTAGGTCTTCCAGTCTATCAACATTATGGTTTGGAAATTCGTTTCAGATTAATATTGTGCTGAATGGTCATCCATGAAGGAATAGGTGGTATTACACTTATGGAGAGTTACATTGAAGAAGATTCTTTCTTAATAAGTATTCTTTTTAAGTGTTCATTATAAAGAACCATGATAAAGCAAGAAGAAAATAACTACTCAAGGACTAGTAGGCATCTTTCCCCAGAAGAAATCTAGAATTCGTCATTCTTACAATGAATGTAACCAGAGTAAACTGGTGTGATGGGTAAACCTGGAAGTTATCTCACCTCTTGCCTGAGTTTGCTAGAAGGATTTCTTTTTTTTTTTTTCCCTTAAATGAACTATCTATATGCCATTCTCTAGTTTCCTTTTATATTTACCTGTTCGTGAATGGATCCTTGATACCTTTGTTCCATTAGAGCTTGTCTGGTTGTTCCACTACAAAAGCCTATGCTCCAGAAGGAAACCAACCCTTTGGCATCAATGCAATTTTCACAGGAAGGCTCAGGTTAGTTCAGGTTAGTTCATTAATGGGCCAGATACCTTACACACCCTCTGGGGATGGAAAAAAGCAGTTCCACAGGCATAAGATACATAATTTCAACGTGGTGCTTTTAATATCAGTTAGAAATGATTCTTCATAACAGACATATTTACTTAATGATTCACTTTGACTTAATTACATAGTAACAAGCTCTGATGATTCCATCCTGCATTACTGTATATGGTCTTCTTAAAGTGGATTATTATTTCTGCAAAAGGGAATTAACTGCAGGAATACATTTTTACACCATCCCCACAGCCTTCTTGCTTTAGCTGACTCGCAAGTCTCACGTTATGAAAAAGAAGATTTCTGATGCTGAAAGACATCGTGGTCGTGTCTCTTCACTTCTTCTAGCTGGATCATTGGGAATTTTACTTGTTTTTCAAACCATTTTGCTACACTGAGAAGCTGCCTCTCCTGGAATGAACGTCCAATGAACTGAAGCCCAAGTGGCAACCCTCTCTCTGAAAGAGCTGCAGGAACATTTATGGCTGGCAGTCCTGAAACAAAAAAAGAAAAAAAGATACACATGCAACCACTTACTACTAAACAAATCCAGCTGGAGTAATTTCTGTATCAATTCTGCCCTTAGAATTGTTTTTATGTAGTGGAAAAAGACTACTTAAAATAATTTTAGTCAACGAACAAAGGATACTGCTAGGTGATGACAAGAAATGAATTAGTGATCAGAGAATCAACTCTCCTAAGAAAGAAATTTCAGTCTCGGAAACTTGAATGGATTCATCTTATCTGCAAACCCTACCCAGCTCCAAGGTGCCTCATCTTAAAATCTAGTCTTACATTTTAAAGCATTTCATAAATAAGCTAGCCTTATACTTGGTTATCACTGTAGGAGTTACAACACAGAGATGAAATATCTTGATTCTAAAGAAGAGGTTAAATAGCTGAAGGGAATGGACATAAAAAATGACTAGGCAGCAGAAAACGTAGTTGTATTCCTGTCCCTACTCACCAGCCATGTTTGCAGCCTGTGTTAGGATGTCATCTTGTGCGCTGCGGGTTCTGTTGTCTTCTTTGATGAATTCCACATATGGTACTGCATCAGTCAGAGTGGTAGGAGTGAGCAAAATATCAACACCACTCTCAAAAACCTTCACAAAGTCATTGGCAATGAGACGTCTGACTTTCTGTGCCTTGATAAAGTAATTCTCATAGTTCCTAGAAAGAAATAGGGACATGAGGGCCTGACACTAATTTCAAAAATACAGAACTTAATTTCTTAGTTTGTGTAAAAAAGACAAGGCCGGTATTCCTTCTGGTTAGAAGACTAACACTGGTACTTGAGTTTTTGATATACCAGAAGCTTAGTCATCAAACATGGTGTTTATGCTCTCATAGCAACAAAGCTGTCAGGGAAGATGAGGGCATACTGCTGCAGAAAGGTGAAGGGAAAATAAAACTCTAGTTTACAATAGTGAACTAAAAATCCAAACAACACTTTTATGACCTTTCTGAAACTAAACCTAAACTGTGTATTGACTTTCACTCCAGGGCAGCACAGCAAAGCCTAGCAACAATACAAAACTAAGCAGGCCTGGCAAACAGGCATTAATCATTTAGGATTCAATCCAGCAAGATAGTTAAAGCATGTGAAAAAGTCCCAGCATCTATGGAGGACTCCATGTGGTCTATGGATTTCTAAACTGTCTATACACAATTCTGAAGAACAAATTAGTCAGCTTTATGTCTACTGTTCCTTTTAACTTCATACGCAGAACTGGTAAATGTGGAATCCTTAAATTCAGAGAAGTTCAGTTTCAAAAGCATTGCCATCTGAACCCACAGCTATTCTAAAAAAAAAAAGCGGGGGGGGGTATTAACAACTGCTACATGCTGGAATGTTTGTAGATAGAACAACTGAAACTGCCCCAAGGCCACTTTGTTAGAGTAATCTAAAGATTTCTGTTTCTGAAAACTACAATGAAAATCATTATAATCAATAATAGACAGCAGATTCAAGTTAAGAAGTTACATCATGGGAATTACCCCTCTTTCTACAATCGTTTCTGAAATCATCCTAGCTGTTAACTTCAAAAAAAGCAGTAAACGGAACAAAAAGGACTTCAAACAACATTTTAAGCTGGAAAGACCATTCTGGGTTTTTTAAGAAAAAAGTGAAAAAATATTGTTAAATTAAACATACACTCTGTTAATTCTGATACAATGTTGACAAGCTTCCATTGCTTCCTGAACAATCACCTAGTTATTTTACAGATCTCAAAAGCATGATAAAAATCACTTGTAAAATGCAACGTTTGCAGGAGACACAGACGGTTTTTGTCTACTATTTATTCTAAGAATGCTTTCCGAACCCTAGGTTCAAAAAGTAATTACTTCAAAAGTAATCTACTGTGGACAGGAAAAGGACTCTCCTGTTCAATCTTGGTGGAAGCTGATTGTATATTCCTTCACAGAAAAGTGAATGACATGAATTTTATAGCAGCCTTAGGAAAGCTGATCTGGACAGTTGTAACCAGAAGGAGCTTT